TCTGAAAAATGATGATTTATAGTTGACTTTTAAAATAATATTCTCATAGCAAAATCTTTCTGTTTCAACTTATTGGATATTGCTACAAATAGTTATATGTAATTGTTCATAAAAGATTTTTATTGATTTTTTGGTGTCAAAACACTCCCTGAGGTTATTTATGTCCCAATGATTTTGTTTTTCTAGTCGCACATCCATTCGTGTTTTTCTTAATAAAGCTATTTCTTCTTTCAAATATGTTGTCCGGATAGCCAAATGGTCTCTACTAGGGCCAACACTTTTTTCTTTATACTTAAGAGCCCTCTCTCCGCTATATAAGCCACACTGCAGTTTGGGCCTTTACGCGGAAATCTCTTTACGCGGACAAAGCCACAAAGAATTTGAATTTGGCTTTTCAAAAAATGGTACCCTTCTGCCATAGAATGAAAATAAGTGTACATACTACGAAGTAAATCAACTTGGTGGGTTAAACGTACTCTGGGCCACACATGCAAAATACCTCCCTTAACCATCCCATAACATAATAGCTGGGGTTTGGTTTCTTTTTGAAATCAACTAGAATTTGCTTCTATTTTTCTCAGTCATGATTATCTTTGATCGTCCTGTTTTAATAGTCATAATATTACTTTTTTTCAATATTCGACAAGCAAATTACAAATGAAATAGGTAAGATGTTTTATCATAATCAGAACATTCCGAATATGAATAATTTTATTCGTGAACAAGATTTACATTTTGTTTTAATATGTCATATTTTACATTTTATTACATCTACATTTTATTGTTTTACATTGGTTCAACGTCTGCGTTAAAAAATTCATTCAGAGTGTAAAATGGGTTGTTCTGTAGCCATTTGCAAACTCTGTTTTTAAAGACCCATGTAGGTAATGTTGTTATATGTACAGTTCGTTTATTAAATAGCTTGACTCCAACAAATTCTAAACTATGACTAATTTTAGTCTTTGTACAGAATAGATAAGGCAACTTATTTTTCGCTCTAGTATTATTTTCATGTACATTATTTACACACACACACACANTAGAAATACTTTGATTGAATATAAAAAATATATTTTGCATTGTATAAATTCACGTTTTTCCACATCGTACAAGTATTTGTTAAATTTAAACAATGTTCGTAAATCCCAGGCCCTGAAGATGATCTCAATAAAGATCAAAACATTGGCACGATAAAGAAAATGTTTTTCTGAAGCCTACATCACACCAGACCAAATCTCACGATTTCTGAATAATTGGTACGAGATAGATCTACAATTATTTGGCTCATTTTTACTACCACTGCCTTTATAAATTGGTGTGACAATACACTGCTTTAGAACATTCGGGAAATAACCTTCAGAAAGACATAGATTAATTGCATGGGTTAGCAGCGTAATTAAGTGGGTCGCAACACTTTTTAAGAAGTTAGTACTCATGCCGTAATAGTCACTAGCAATATAATTCTTTTACTTTTTATAAGATGTCAGGACCACATTCTCATCAACAAGCATTAAACATAAGCTTTTTTTTATTCATATCAATGGTTAGTCTCCTATCGGACAAGTTATTCACACTAATAAAATTTAATATTTTGAAGTATTTTCCAACGTTCTATTGAATAGTTGTCAGTTTCCAAGAGTTTGGCATAATTAGATTGCCGCCTTTCATGACTAACAGATTTGTTGTCTAGCTTTTTTATTAATTTGTTAATTTTTACACTGATATTAGAATTCTGCAGTTAGAGTAGAAGTTGAAGCTTATTCCATTTAAACAATACATCCAAAGCAAGTTATTTTTTTTTATTTTTTTTTATTGAACCGTTTTACCTTTTGGAAAGTAACTGGGAAGAAGTTATTTCATAAATAATAAAAGATCCTAACGAAAATACAGAGTAGTATCTGCTATGATCAAACATTTTTGAAGGCTATAAATAAATACAATTCAAATAAAACATACTATTTTTTAGAAAATCAGTTCACAAAATTAACCAACTTTTTTTTATTTCAACTTTTTGTATGCTCATGTATATTTCATTTATATTTTCCCGATCTGATTTCTTAAAAAATTAACTAAATCGTAATTTAACATAATTAAATGAAAGTAATTTAACTTTACAAAATAAGTATAGCAAATCAGATTCAAACTAAGTCCGGTATTATTAATAGTTCACTGATCCGTTCTTTGGAACACTAGGCCCGTTTGAATATGGTAAAATAGGGAAGTAACTATCAGCTTTGATCATAGTTGAAATTGAACGTCTTAACATTAACTAGCATAAACCGAACCTAACCCCTGAAATTTGATCCCTCAGCAGTTTACCTCCCCCCCGCCTTTAAGTTTGAACTGATCGGTGTATAAATAGTAACAATCTGACCTTCTTCTGAAACGTTATTTTAACCATTTTTTATTTTTGTTTTCCAGGCTCTAAATTTAACTGTTAATTATAAATCTCGGTTTTATCTCGTATATATTTCAAAAGGATTTAATGAAAGTGTTAGTAATGCTAGAGTATTTTATTTGATGACTGCAATTTAAAATTATTGATATTACCAGATTCCCTCATTTGCCGGTAGAAGCTTTTAGAGGCTTAAGACCTTTAATCCACTGGGGTCATAACGACCCAAAGCCTCGTAAGTCAGCGTCTAAGTATCTCAGGTCTGTCTCGTAGAACATCATTTCCTAGAATGAACACTTTCCTTCCTGTCAGGTGAAATTTTCCTTACGCCCTCAAGACCCATCTATTAGTTCGACCTCGCCGTCCTTTTATGTATGTAAACTCATATGGTATAAATTTCGTATGTAACTACTTGTCCATCTTTCCTTCTCTTTTAGAGGCTCTACAATTTCTCAATGTTATTTTTATCTGCTGTAACTTGAAAACATATCTGTTTCACTATTTTATGTCGTTCAAGAAGTCGAAAGTTTGATTGAGATGTAAAATTCTATTTTTTCACGGAAAAATGAAGTTTTTCTTTTTTTTTACAAGAGTTCGCAGAGTCATATCAACACTCAGGGTCGGGTTTTTTTTAAAAAAAAAAAAAAGCTCATTTGTAAATATGTTGGGTTTGAATGCAGGACCGCCGGATTCGAACCCGGAACCTTTACCTTACAGTGGTAAGTGCAGTGTCAACGCCTAAACCGTTGCGCCCACTGATGCCCCAACCTAATGTTGAAAAATTAGTGTTTAAGTGTTTTACTTATTACATAAGACAAAAAGGCAGAGCATTAAAAAATCAGAGAATGATTCACTGTGTCAAAAGATTCACTGAGATCAGTGTTCACAATTTGCACATGTTGATTTTTTCCAAAAGTTGGCTAGCATATCGACAGAACCAATGCCAATTTTAGTTTACAAAATGGAGCAGTCTGTCATGATACAAAGACTCAAAAACATTTGAGGGTATTGATACGAGGGTTATAGATCTATAATTATTTGGCTCATTTTTACTACCACTGCCTTTATAAATTGGTGTGACAATACACTGCTTTAAAACATTCGGGAAATAACATTCAGAAAGACATAGATTAATTGCATGGGTTAGCAGCGTAATTAAGTGGGTCGCAACACTTTTAAAGAAGTTAGTACTCATGCCGTAATAGTCACTAGCAGTAGAATTCTTTTACTTTTTATAAGATGTAAGGACCTCATTCTCATCAACAAGTATTAAACATAAGTTCACTAGTTTTCGTGGTCCGCTTGACCAATTAATATTTTTCAATTAATTAGTCATGCGGACCATGAAAACTAGTGAATTTAATAAGTTAAATGAAGTATTTCACTAAACCTCTCAGTGGCCATTTCATTTGCCGCCGAGAATCAAATAGATAACACGACCTTTGAAAAATTGCAAAAAGGAAGGAAATTCAAAAGGTGAGGTTGAGATGGGAAGTTAGTGTCCGAGTGGAGTCACGATAGCTCAAGTGGTAGAGTAGCGGCGTTCTAGCCGAAGGTCGTGGGTTCGAATCCCGCTCGTGACATTGACTTTTTTATCTCAGATAAAAACCTTAATTAATTGAAAGATTAAACATAAGCCTGTATTATTCATATCAATGGTTAGTCTCCTACCAGGCAAGTTATTCACACCAATAAAATTTATATCAGAGTCATATGAACACTCAGGGTCGGGTGTTTTTAAAAAAAAAAGCTCATTTGTAAATATGTTGGGTTCGAATGCAGGACCGCCGGATTCGAACCCGGAACCTTTACCTTGCAGTGATAAGTGCAATGTCAACGCCTAAACCGTTGCGCCCACTGATGCCCCAACCTAATGTTCAAAAATTAAATAATTAGTGTTTGAGTGTTTTACTTATTACGTAAGACAAAAAGGCAGAGCATTAAAAAGTCACTAAAAGAGCAACAGCTCATCTGAACCAACGGTAGTGAACGTTTTTTATTTTTATTGACTTTTACATTCACAAAACAATTAAATCAGTAAAATTGCATTAAAACGGAAACGATTGACACGAAAAGCATGTGAGAAGAACTCACTCAGTGGCAAGCATTTTATAATAAAAAATATTTAATTAATCACTTTTCAATTTTATTCGTCGCTATTTAGGGCATCACGTAGCCATCGGCGTTTAAGTCGACGATGTATTTATTATATTTTATTTAATATTTTTAATTAGNGATGCCCAAACGCAAAGCCAAAAAAAAAGAATTTTATAAACCATTAAATTTTATTGTTTTTATTCGGTAAAGCAATCAAAACAGTAAAAATATTGAAAGAATGAAACCATTATCATGAGAATGATGTGAGGGAACTCACCCAGTTTGATGCGGCGGGGAGGATAATCTTAGATGGTAATGGAACTGAGGTGACGGATGAATCGGGATGAGTGGAATGAAATTGACGGATTTTTTTAAAGGTTTTCGTTTCTACACAAACAAAGGGAATATTGAAGTCTCGGTGTAGAGTGAGGGTTGATACATAAAAATGAGTATTAACAATTTTACTTAAAATTTTTGATTGGAATCTCTCGATGCATTAGGAATAGGAATGCTTGGTTGACCCATAAAATCGTTAGTAGAAAAAATAACAAACCGTTGTCTTAAACACACATGACCGAGTGCCAATTACCGGCCATTTAATCAATTTTAAATAAGAAAAACATACCTGCGGTATTCTAAAGAGTCTGAGGAGATTTGCAACTTGAATGGATGTGACGCTGGATGCGGCTCCGACGACCCCGGATATCACTTTTTTCACCTGTGTCTTATTGCAACTGTATTCCCCGTCGTCAATGTTGCTTATAGAACCTACAAAAAAAAACAAAAATTCGTATTATCGTCAATTAGGATTAAATTGAGATAAGAGTATAATTGTGTATTGCCATCTAGTAGGTAGTGACATTATATGTAAGCATAACTTGAATTTTATGTTCCGTAACGGGTTTCCGTAACCCAGGGGTCAGAAAACCTTTTTAGAAATCAAATCAACAAAGAAAAGACAGTGAGAAGTGAGAGAGAGGGAAAGAAAGAGTGAGTGAGTGAGAAAAAGTCGAGAGAGAGAGAGAGAGAGTGAGTGAGAGAGGGACAGGCAGACAGACAAAGAAAAGGTAGTGAGAGAAAGAAAGAGAGACAGGCGGCGGACAGTCAGAGAGAAGGTAGTGAGAGAAAGAAAGTGAAAGCGAGCGATATATATATTGTGTGTGTGTGTGTGAGAGAGAGAGAGAGAGAGAGAGAGAGAGAGAGAGAGAGAGAAAGAGAGAGAGGAGAGAGGGATAGAGACTGAGGGGGGACAGTCACATAAACAGATAGACGGTGAAAAGACAGTGAGAGGAATAAGAAATAAGGAAAAGCCAATTTAAATGTAGAAAAAAGTGTACAGTTTATCTACCAAGAGACTTTAGTGTTAAAATTTTTCGAATCTTATTTGTTAATGGAGGATAGCTATTGCGAACGTCAGCACCTTTCGCACGCGCGGCTAAAGAGAATTTGAAACGAAAGCAATTAAACGAAAGGGTGCAAAGGCGGCACGTACCGTCCTTTTAATTCCTTCAAAAGGACTGGAATGGGTCAGGGCAATATCCTAAACATTCTATCTCAGGAACTGTGTCAGGTCGAAACGTTTTCGCTCCAAGCAAGACCGTTATTTACAGTAAAAGGTAACAGACTCAGAACTAGGTGGCTGCCAACTTTTCACTTAACTGTTTCAAATTCTATCCACAAATTTCAGCAGGTTCCGCCTTCCTGCTATTTGTACCTTAGTATTAGACTATAAAAAACAAAGGGCAAGAAAAATTATATGATCATGTATAAAAAATTACTGAAATTTCTCCTTTGGCCTTTTTACAAATTTGAAAGAGAAAATTATATTGACTGTTAAAAGTCGTGATTTCTTCCATAAATTTTTCGCATTTTTTTTTAAATCGCGATGGTTTTTGGTATTCTTAAAATTTTATTTGCTCCACCCTCAGCACCACTCCGTTTTTCTTCCCTGTTCTACGCAGGTTTTAGTACCTAATTTTGCCTCCGTACAAGAAACATTATTCATTTTGCTTCTGAATGCTTCCAACCTACAAAGTACTCGTTTTGCACCCAAAACGACTATATGTTTCTTTTGCTTCCGTCGTATTTACTTTCAACATAAACTGCTCCAAAATGAATAGGTATATTGCCAATTTTGTAGCATTTTTCTTTTAATTTGATTATAAAGTGCATTAAATGTTTTTAGAAATTATTATTTTTTTACTGAAGGAAAATTTAATTAACAGATTTGGAAAAATAACAAAACAAAAAGGTTTAATTCCATAATTTTTTTTATTGGACACAATAATATTTTTAAACAATTAATACTGTGTATATTGTACTTAAATATATTGTACTTTAGTTAAAACCGCTATGTACCTGATAGTAAAGTCACTAATTCCATAAGGAATTTCACTCCATAGATGTTGAATCGCTGCAACTCAGTTGTTGCAGGTCAACTGGTTGGAGATGTTGATAGAAGGTTCCTTCTCAGTATCATATCCCACATGGGCTCAGTGGTATTAAGGTCTGGAGACAATGTGAGAAGGGGCAGATGGAAAAATTCCCAGGTTTTCTAAAAATTGATAAACAACTCTGACTCCTTGAGGTCATTGTCATCAGAAATCGAAAATCCCAACCAATGAGATTCCTGGTTTGAGGGATGTATTCTTGGAGAATTTCTCGCACATAACGGACTGCCTTCAACTATATGGATTCCAGTTCATCCTCCAGTGTAAATTCCAGACCAGACCATTACATCACCTTCTCCAAACTCCACTGAATGGAGTACGATCTGGATCATGGTGCGTGAATGAAGATCATCGTGATCTTAATATATTAAGTTTTCAATAAAATGTAATGGCGAATTCCACTCTTCACTCACTGGTCTTTCCAATCCGTGAGTAATCCAGCTTTCCTGTCTCCATTGCAGATATGATATAACTTATAAACATTTTTTTAAGTTTTCGTGGTCCCTTTACCAAATAACATCTTTCAATTAATTAATCTGTATTAAGGTATTGGTTGAGATAAAAATAGGGAAAGATAAAAGGAGGGAAAATTCAAAAGATGAGGTTGAGATGGGAAGTTATTGTCCGAGTGGATCGAAGTCAATATAGCTCAAGTGGTAGAGCAGCGGCGTATCAAGCCGAAGGTCGTAGGTTCGAATCCCGCTCGTGACACTGACTTTTTTATCTCAACCAAGACCTTAAATAAAGATTAATTAATTGAAAGATGTTATTTGGTAAAGCGGACCACGAAAACTAGTGAATTTAATAATTCTCGCTATTAAATCAATAACCGATGTTTAATAATAATTACAAACCATTTACCTTTGTTCCAAATTGATAATATTTCGATTAATATTCCCTGCATTTATACTTTGAAGCTGAAATCTGATTATTAAGCCGTTTGTTTTGCCACAATGTTCAATAGGAGAGAAAATTATACTTATTTTCACTAGTTAATTAGCTAATTCAGGTGAACAATCGGATTAAACTTATTACAAAATAATTTCACTTTAAATAAATTCGACTGAGTTTGTTACAATGATTTGTTCGCCTGCAACTTGTTTCTACCGGGTAACCAAAAGAGTCTGTGCCGTTTTTTCATTTGTTATTGTTTTAGTACCTTTAATCTAAGTTTTTATTTACATAAGAGGCTTAGTTGTTTATGTAAACCGTATATATTAAAGACGTATATATTAAAACGATAATGCAGTTCATAAAGAAAAAGTGTCTCAAACCGTTCACTGTAAATTATAAATATTTCCTTTTTCATAGCTTTGTAATCGAGCGCCGACGCTCTCTCTGTGTGCTTAGGACATTCAGCGAACGGGCTTAACTACTTTTTGTGTAGAAGAAGGTAGAGTTCCAAAATTACAATAAATCCGAGAAATATACTCGTAATTATTTACATTACACCGGCCCGTCTTAATATTGTACAAAATAAACGTGAAGTCAAACAACCAAGACAAATTGATCATCTCTACTCTAAGGATGAGCTTATTGACAAGAGATATTACCCTAAATCTAAGGTAGCTTTTTCCCCAGAGTTCCCAGTTCTTCTACATCTGGCTAAGTCCTTTTGTTGACTGCTAGACTGACTGTGCTTGAATGCTCTGGACATCCGGCGAAGAGTGTACTTCACACATCCAAAATGTACGGTATCCCACGGCTAGTTGGACTGTGTCTGCGACAATCTTCCTACACAAACAACCCCTCGACTTTCGTATTTAGTTGACAGACTCTTCATCTCTAGAGTTCCTTTGACTTCCATGGAGTAGGAAACGTCTCCTTGCTCCCTACCGAATGAGTAACCCGGCTTTATTTCCAACATGTTTTGAACAATCCATACAACTATTAACTTATCTGAGCAAATATTCCTATGCTAAGAGGGGACCGGCATACAGCTTAAAATCTTATATTTAATGTAGGCTTATTGTATGTTCGGTTCTGGTGGCTGGAGCATAACGTAAAATGTGCACTACGTTTGGTGAGGAAACAGCAAGTAAGTGCACTGCTTAAAAGTGATTCAAATTTTTTAAAAAAGTACTCCACCAATCATAAGATATTTTGTTGATGAAAATTCGGTTTTCGCGTCAATGCGACAGGGTCATTCGTTGGTAGTAACCAGTACTGTAGTACAGAATCCATTTTACGTCGCATGTGACAATCCGGTCAAAAACGTTACTTTTTGCCGTGAAAGTGACGGAAAGGAAATGTTTTTAACCTGAAGCTTACTACTATCGGTCACTTTATAACCGATTTGCTCAGCTTCCACATCGCCACAAGTCGTAAACTAGAGCGAATGGTTTCATTGCTTATGTTGAACCGTCTGGCAACATCTTTAACTCGAATCAAGTTCTATAACTTCGCTTAAATCGTTTTCATTCAAAACAGTCAAGACTAAAGGTTTATCAGATATTGGTTTATGTTCGATGACCTTATTCTCAGAAGGTAACTGTTGGAACAACTTTTGGGCAGTTCGCTCATTTATTGTAACAACACCAAACGTAGTGCAAATTTAAAAAGCTGGCTCCATCGCCTTATTACCGAGCATAAATTCATCCTATAAGCACGAATTGTGGGTTTTGAAGCCATTATGAAGATATATTTTATAATTTCCAGTGAACTAGTGAACTGATCAAGACACTTTTGCTTTATGAACTGATGCAATATTCTTTTGGTATTAAGAGGCATAAAAACCTAAATGAAAACAAAAATCCGGACAAACTTTTCTTGTTATCTCGAATACGAAACAAGTTGGAGGCCAAACAATCTTTGTTAATTAAGTCTACAAGGGTAATTTTTTTAAATTTATTTAGTCATTCATATTCTACATGAACCACTACTACATTACATGTAATTTAGATACAGTTACATTATTGACATTTACCTATATATTTTTATGAAATTTAATTTAATATTTATTATGACATTATATTGTTCATTTCCCGCAAGTTACAATTTTGAACGAATTGTTCAAACACAGTTACAATGTTTGCACTGAGGAGGTTTCTTCGAGTACACGGCCAGTACGATCCATTCAGCAAGAGGTGTAGTGAGTTTCCGCATACTCGGTCATCCTATAAAGGATAATGAGGATCTTTAACATCCGCACTTAGCCTATTCGGCCTTATCGGACGTTTTAATTCTCAAGATGAGAACTGACGCACCTCCGCATACGACAGAATGGTGTTACAGCCGCAGCATTGGTGTAGAGGCAGCTCAGCCCCGAAGGGCCAAGACAACCTCGCTCCCCGCTTGTCCAGTCAGAGTGGTTGGGCC